CTTGTGCTCTTTCATTCAAAGAAGAACGGGGAGTAAAATAACCAATGCAAACAGCAATTCAGATTATTTTGTTTGCTTTACCTTCCAAAAGAGAACTACGCCGGCGTTATTTTCCACGTGGTGGTTGAAGGTTTGCAGCCCAGTTTTGGACTCGGTGCAGGCAGCTCTCAAGCCGAAGCTCAGTTCTGTGCCGTGCTGGGGCTGTGATACCGGCCTGGCGGATCTGCGTGCGCGGCTGTGGGCCCTGCTGGGCTTTTAGCAGTGCTGTCAGGGAGCTCGTGCGCTGCGGTGACCGCAGTCAAAGTGTGAGCGTGATTGCTGTTATCTTCATGTCCTGAAGGAGTGAAGCCAGCTGACAGCAGCCTGACGCTGCCCCGTCCCACCTCCTGCAACGGCCGCTGCCTTTGGGTCACGCCGTGTTCTGTACAGAAGTCAGCAAGGCGCCGTGGCACAGCAGTGCTCCCATCCTGAGCGCCCAGGGCAGCACGGCACTGCGGCTCTTGTCCTGCGCAGCCTGCGTGGGATGTGCCAGCTCTTGATCCAGTGACAGCCTGGAGCTCGTCGAAGCTTTTCTGTGAGACCTGGGCTGTAATTCCATATCAGGAGAAGCTCTCTGGTCGGTTTGTGCCCTGTGTGAATGGAGCCAGCGGGATGCTATGTTCTGCCTCCTCTCTGCAGGAGCTGCAGCACGGCCTCGAGTCCAGCCGTGCTCCTCCAGCCCCAGCCTGCCCAAAGCAGGTGGCAGGGGCTGTGCTGGGAGTACAGTGGGATTGGTGCAGGGCAGATGGGGCACGTGGGCAGCGTGCCTGGTGGCAGGGCCCAGCCAGGGTCCCAGTGGAGCTGCGTTTGAGGAGTTGGGTGCTGGTAGAAATGCAGATCCGGAGCCTCTCCTGGGCGTTGCGGCTGATTTGGGCTGAAATCAAACGCTGTGCCTGGCAGGAATGAAAACAAGTAACGCATTAGAGGTACGAGGGAGTTAATGTTCAAACAGTGCTTTGAAGATAAAATATATACTGCTAAATAGTTCAAGAAGAAAGGGCTGGAAGGCACCTGAAGAGGTCATCTTGTTTGTTTTTCTGCCCCAAGACAAGAGCAACTCGAGCTCAGCCCTTTCTGACTTGTTTGTGCAGCCTTTTCTTACCAACCTGCAGCAAGATGTGCTCTGTATCCTCCACAGGTAACAGTCCAGCTCCACTACCCCTGTCTGTTGTGGTCAATTTTCATTTAACCAAATGAGAAATCTACAAATGTACACCTTATCCAGCCCTGGATGATCCTCCATGCCGACATCACGGGGTGACGGGACCAGCTGTGTGTGCAATGCTGCAAGAAGGAAAGGTTAAAAATAAACCACAGGGTTGCAGAAGCTTCTTATAATGGCACACTGGAAGGAAGTGCTTGTTTTGAATTATGGTGGTTATGCAGAAACCTCTGGAATTTGCTCGTAAGAGGTTGAAAGTTTGTTTTCATCGAGAGCAGAACTTGAGAATCTTTGTAGGTTTGTGAGCATGGCCTTTTCCCACTGCCTGCAAGGCTTTGCAGGGCTGTTCTACAGAAATGGAGAAGAGTTCCTGCATCGCTTGGGTAAATGATTTTGGCCTGCATTTTAGCTGTGACTTGATGTGTGATTGCTACCCACAGTTAAAGGTTGTTCTTACGCTTTGCTAACAGCAGCGTCGCTGGTGCTGCCACGTGCTGAACGTTGCTGTGCTGACCCTGCTGTCTTTGCCTCTTTCTGAGTATCAACCAGATCATTCAGCTCACCTGAAGTTTATTTTCTGGTGCAGTTGGAGCTCTGAGCAGACCCAGAGTGTGCTGCAAGGAGTGAAGTTGTGCTGCTGTGTTTTGATCACTCGCACTTACGTACACGTGTGTCTGGATGCTTTGTGCAGAGCAGCACGTGGAGCCTGGCTGTGCTCCTGGCTGGAACGTCCTGCTTGTTATCTGTGCTTCCTGCTTGGTTTTTGTTTGGTTGGTTTTGTTCAAGGCTGATCTTGCTTCCAAAACAGTTGCATACAAACACAATGTCTCCTTAGAATTGCAATAAACACCACCTTATTTCAGGAAAGGTTTGGATGGGAATTAAAAGATTACCTGCTATCCTGAATGGTTCTCAAAGCAGAGGAGCTGGGCGGTGAGCTGAGGCATCTCAGTGGCACGACTTCCAAAGGTTTGTTTTGAAGTGAGGCCGCACGGGGTGCGATGGCACGCAGAGCAGCGCAGCTCCTCGCAGCATGCAGGCGTGCTGCCAGCTCAGCATCGGCCGTCACAGAGCTGCCCGGTCTCAGGGTTGGTGTAGCCCATTCCAGACTGGACTGATGCTCTGTTTGGGGTTCTGCTGCTCCCTTGGATGCCCTCATGGCCGTAATGAGAGCAGGATCTCCCAGGGGTGCTGGCACGTGGCTGTCATACACTGAAGACTCCTCCTGTGCCACCATTTACAGAGATGTGTTACTGGATTCGTGTAAACCTGTATGTGCCTCTTGTGAAACTAGTTCAGCGTCGCTAGATTGTTCCTCCTGATTTGGGCAGGATCAGGTGTCTGGCACTTCTTGCTACGCAGAGCTCATTCTTTAGATATGCAAGTGGGCTGTGCACATCTTACTTTTTAATCAAGGGACAGGCTCCCAAAACAGCACTGCAGTGAGAGCATCACGCTGGGAGCAGTGCTGAATGTCAGAGCAGAGTTTGTTCCAGATGCTCGCTTTTCAGCTCTGTGGATCCGTTCTTCGTACTTCAGGGTTTTGCTGTGTGCAGAGGCATTGGTTTTTATTCTCTGCTGTATCAAAAAGTAGTGACATGAAAGGAAACGCAGTGCTGCTTTTTTTCCTGTAGCACCACTTCCCAATAATTAGGCTTCTCAGGAGTTTGTGTGATAGGAAGCGTAAAACCAACAGAGTCGTGTGGCTTTTTGGGTGGTGGTTCTTCAAAGCCCTGTCTGTGGAGGTGGTAATTCCACAGAGGAATGGCCATAGACTCTGACGGGGGGAGGACGTGCAATGGCAGTTTTCAGTTAAAACAAATATGTCTGTACCTGCAGCTGGGGGTGCTGAGGTGCTGAGGCACAGCACTTGTCTGTGCTTCTGCCTTGTTTCTTTACAGCCTCCATCTCACTGCAGGTTGAGCCGCATCCTGGAGGCGCTGGGAAGGAACCCTGCTGCCATGGAGCGCTGTGCAGAATGGGCTCTGTGTCGTCGGGCCAGGCTGGGAGCAGCGCTGTGCCATGCAAAGCACCTGCCAGCTCTGCCCAGCAGCAGGTGCCTGGCGGTGGGAGCTGGTTCCTCCTTCCCTGAGAGCCTCACAGCTTCTCAGTGCGTCCCTCCGGCACTCTTACTTTGCATATCCCCTCAGATATTTGGATAAATTGCATTTAGACCTGCTCTCCACCCACCTGGTTTGTTCAGCTGCTGCTGGGCACGGCCTGCTTGGGGCTGCAGGTGGGAGGTGGAGGCTGTCCTTGTGCCTGGCCCTGTGGCAGTGCCCCAGCTCCTGCCCTGCATCGCTGCTTCTTCCAGCTGAGGAGCTCCAGGTGGAACTGCAAGATCAGAGCTCTGAGTTTAGTTTGCAGCTGTTCTGCAGCTTGTGTTGCCAGTAGCAACTTCTTGCTTGAATGTGCATCAAGGCATTCAGGGGGAGATGGCTTCATTTGGCTGCTTCCCCTTCCCAGGCATTAAAGAAAGATCCTTGCTGGGGCTCTATTTAAAAACAAAGCAACCACAGACAGCAGCAGTGTCTTCATGGCTGCTTTGTGTCCTACGAACTGAGGTCCTTAAGCACTTGTCAGCTGCCACAGGGTTTTTTAAGTTGAATGTCTGCAAAAGGTGTTCTGCTCTGGTGAGCAGAAAAGCTCTAATTGCAGAGTGTTGCTGCCTTAGTTCTTGAGATGTGCTGCCTAATCTGCTTTGTAATCACCTCCAGGCGTTTTATGCCCAGGCCTCAGCATTTTGGCCTCCTTTTCCCTGTGTCTGGAAACAGAATGTTATCCTTCATGGGGCACCCTGGGGCTGTTCAGAGGGGATGCGTGGTGTCAGGGTGGATGCAGCCCACTCCTACGTGCCCATTTCTTACCTGGTGTGTGCTTCGGAGGCTTTGGGATTTGTTTGCTTGTGCCTAATGGAGTTATGTGAGATGGGTTTGAGCCTCATTCAGCAGCAGGATGAGGTGGGAGAGCCTGGAGCTTGTGGGGATCCACAGGAGGAAGTCCTGGGGTGGGAGAAGCAAAGTGGAAGGGAGCTGTGGAAGCTCCCTGCATATCAAAGCAGATGAACGGGGTGAGATGCTGATCACACAGAGCTGCCTTCCCACTGGCTCAGGGGGGTTTATCTCCAGCCCCGCGGTGTTTTTTCTGCTGGTGCTATTCCTGATAGCAGGCATTCTTAAATCACAGGAATGCAGTTCCCCCGGGTGAAGGAGCTTACCTAATGGTGCAGGAATGGTTCTGTTGTTAAAGTTGGTGTCATGGAGCCAACGCCGAGGGTTTGCATGGAAGTTTGGGTTTTTCTGTTTTCTCTGTGATGCTTGCAGGCATATTCAAGGTCCCTCACGTATCTCTCCTAGTGGGAACCAAGAACTGGAATAATGTCTTAGCTTTCACCTGCTTAGGCTTTTATTTCAGACTCTGCCATTATTTCCTTCTGCAAGTTTTCTGAAGAAACCAGGCTGTGGGCAGTTCTTCTCCCCGCTCACAGGCCTCCTCTCACTTCTCCTCCACAGTCACTCTCCATAGCAGGTGTCCCTCACTGCTGCTCTGAAACCAGTCCTGTGTGTGCTCTGCAGGTGGGAATTCTCTGCCTTCCTCAGGAGGACCCTTTACATTCTGGGTGATTGAAGCAAACCGTTTCCAGCTCCTCCTTCCAAGTTTGGATGAGTGTGACAGAGGCCTATACCTAATGCTTAATTTGCCCTTGATGTAACGCTGTGTTGTTACCAGAGCTTTCTTCCCCTTTGCTCCATTTTTAACCTGTTGCTTCTTAGGGTTCTGTTGCATTGCAGTGCAGTGTTTAAGCAGGCTGAAAGCAAGACATCTGTGGTTTTGAGTCAGCCCTGAGAAATGATTCTGCACCAGGATGAATGGCATCTCCAGTTGCAGCAAAGACCCCATCAGTGCCAGTGTTGAAGTATTGCCAGGTAGAAAGGATTAGCTTCTGTTTGTGCATCTATGCTATTTTTTGTCTGCATCTGACAATGCAGATCATGGGGGGGAATCAAGGGCCAATGTTAAATTTTCGTTAGAATATTTCTCTCTGTATTTTCTTACAAATACTTGAAATATCTTCGTCTGTAGGAGGATGGCATTATAATGCAAACAATTGCTGAAGAGCCATCAAGCAGCTTGTCAGTCCCTGATTTCCATAGGTGCCCTGCCTGCAGTTCTTCCTGTCTCAGCACCTGTTTCTCTGTGGTCTTGTGCCCTCCTCCTTGCCGTGCTCTGTCAAAATTCCCCCCAGCTCCTCCTTCCCAGGGTGGTTAAAGGGAAAGGATCCTGAAGAGCGCAGCCTGCAGGAGGTGCCCCTCTCCCTGATCTGCTCATAGGATTTCATGGCGTGGCCTCGCTTTGGCCTTGTAGGTGCTGGACTCGGTGCTGCTGTGCTGCATTGGGGCTGTGCTGCCTTTGACCTGAGGGTTGGCAGCAACACGAGCTGCGCCATTCGTGTCCCAGCTGAACGTGGGCTGCTGTCTTCTGCCCTGCTACGGTAATGACAGCACTGCTCTGGAGGTGTTTCCCTATGGAAGCTGTAACACCATTGCTCTCTTCACAGCTGCTGCGTATGAGGAGAAGCTCAGAGGTGTATTCTTTGTACATCTTGTCATCTTGTGGGGACCTCGGGGCTGCTTGGGGTGTCCCCAGGAGCGTTTAGCATCACTAACACAGGGCCCCGTGCTTGTGCTCACTCAAGAGGTGCTCACCAACTCCTTTGGTGTGCACCCAAACATTTCTGTGCTGGGAACATCAGGTCCTGCACCCTGCTGGGCACGGCTGCCTGCTCTGCGGTGCTGCTGGGCTCCTGCCGCGCTTCCAGATAGTGAGCTCTGTGCACAGTGACACCTTTCTAACAGGCACAGAAGAATTTGTTTAATTAAGCTTTTTAGAAATAATACCAGGCTGACCTTGACATTGTCTCTTCACCTTGAGGGGATTTGCTGCTGTATTCTGCACTGTTGTTGGCTGTAAGAAGCACTGGTGTAAATGACTTTCCCGTTGGTGCACAGCGCAGTGTGGGCTGTGAGCACTGGTTGTGTTCTGTAAGTCCCTGTGAGAAGGCAGAACTCTAACAAGGGAATGAGGAGAGCACTTTTATTTTCAACTCTTTTTTGTGTGTGTATTCTTTTTGCAATCTTTGGAAAAGTAAACAAACCACGAGCACAAAAAAGCCCCACTTTTAGAGGTTATGAGTATCTTCACGTGGCTGCTGAGCCGCGGCCTGGCGGACCTCAGCACTTCTCCTGTCAGTTGGCCAGGCTGGGCTTTTCCCGCAGTCCTGGCACTCGGAAGGGATCTCTGGATGCCTGCATCCTTCTCATTGCTGATGCTTGCTCTGCTTTCTTCCAGTTTCCAGCATGTCTACAGATGGCAGCTTTGGCACAGGCAGCAGCAGCGATGCCCAGCAGAGCCTGCAGTCCTTCTGGCCCCGCGTCATGGAGGAGATCCGCAACCTCACAGTGGTGAGTGCCTCAGTGGCTCACATTGCTTCTAGAGAACCCGTGGTGGATTTCAGAATGCCTTCAGGTGTAGCTGCCTTCGGTGCTTTGAGCTAACAGGAGGTTGAGGGATTTCAGATGGTAACTCGTGCTGTTCTGCTGCTTCTCAGCTTCAGCAATACGAAATAAGTGACAAGAGTTACTTCCATGTAAGAGCACTCTTAATCCCCCTCCTTCCCCTTTATAAATTCAAACATCTGGCTATTGGCAGACGGTGGCAATTTTGTGAATGAATTTTTGGATTTCATTTTCTGTATAGAACAATTATGCTCTTTCAGAACCACCTCCTTTGACAAGCCTGAAGTCTTGAAAATCACTTGAATGCCAAGTGCATCATTATCACGTGCCTTATTAATTTAAAGACATTTCATTTAAAAAAAAAAAACACATAGAGGCTGAGAATAGGAATTGGACTAAGTAGCTTCTATTTTTCCATCCCCAGAAGAGAAGTGCCTGGGAACGAGGGCATATAATAAAAATTGGCTTTTGGAGAGAGATGGAGAGATGGCTGTGATGCAGCAGTCCTGCAGGCACATCCTGAGCTTGTAATGCAAGTGAAAACAAAAGAGCCCCAGTTGAAGACGGGCTGTTCAAAGTGAAAACCCCAATCCAGTAGTTGGAAGATAAGCTGCTTTTTTTTCTGCCTGCATGCAGACAGTTGGTTGAAGAAACAGATGTAGAATTTTGTATGCATAACTAGAATTAATTACTTTCTTCTTTTACTGCGTTGAATTCTTGTGTTCAAGAGCTGTAGTTTGTCTTTGTCTCCACATGAAAGGGGTTTATTCCACAGCTTATCAAATACGGGCAGCTTAATTTTTAACTGCTCTGTGAAGCTATTTATCGCATGGCAAGGTAGGAAGTCGCTGGAAATTAACTGGAGACACTGGAGCAGAGAGAGCAGGGAAAAGGATGAAGTGCAGAACATCTGAACGCGGCCGTTCCCAGCACAACCAAACCCTGGCACCCGTGTGCATCTTGTGCTGCCATGCGTGTGGATGGAAGCAAGCTCAGAGCTCACCTGTGTGTGCTGTGCAGCTGAGAGCAGCTGTGATGGAGGCCTGCTTTGCACAGCTCTCTGCTTTGGGGCATTTGCAACGTGCTGCCACTGGCTGGAATGCAGGGGAGGAAAAAGGGAACTGCTCTGTGAGAGCTGGGATCACTGGGCTGCCCTCCGTCCTGCAGGACAAGGGGCTGTAGGTTTCTCTCAGAGAAGCAGGAGGCAGAATGAGGCTGAAACAAGCATTGCAGCTCCGCAGAGAGCTAGAAGTGGCCTGGGAAAGTATTGAGACCTAATTTGGAAAAAAGAAAAGATGAAGAATTGGTTCTACAGTTCGTTGTGCTGGGCAGTAGCCAGTAGTGGTCACGCTTCCCTTCACCGTGGTACTTGCGTATTGATTTTGATTTATGTGACATTTGCCTGTCAGCCTTAAAGGAATAAAGGCTCTTTAAATTGCTCTGGTTTCTCCCACTGTCTCTGCTCTCTGAAGGTTTTAATAGCATTGCACCTTGTGCAGTGCACTTGTAGCTGCAAGTGTCTGCTTGCACTTCTCTTGTTCTTGGAAGTGAAATAATTAGCACCGTTACGAGTTTCACCAATTAGGAATTTTGTCGTCATCTTTCCTTGAGGCCCGAAGCTCGTGGGGCACTTTAAAAAGGAATGAGCTTAACAAAATAAACTCAAGGAAATCTCTGGGATGTTTTTTCATGCCCTAGCAACCTCCCGACTTGTTTACGTGATGGTGGCTGGTGGGAAGTGCCACCCTGATGTGTGTGTGCTCAGCACAGCTCCTGCCTGCTGCCCTCTCCCAGCCCTTCCACACCAGGCCTCTGCCCTCCTGCTGCACGTACCACGTCCAAGATTCTCCCCACAGTGAGAACGCAAAGGTTTTGCTGTGTTCTAATACATATCTATCATTTTCATACCTAAATTGATCACACACCCCCTGCCAGAGCGCTGGCTGTCCCACATACAGCTTCTGTACTTTATTTTAGTAGAAAATGGCATTTTCAGTATTTTTTTTTTTCCTCTTTTGTTTCACTACCGTGTCTGGCAGTGCTCTCCTACCACAGAGAAGAGTCTGCTTTTACTTTTTGTGCCATTTCTGTGGAGAAGACATTTTGTAGAAGCCCTGTGTGCGCAGGGATTCTGCATCCTGGTGCAAGGGATGTAACCTCACCTTTCTCCCTCTTTGAAGGGGCCCCTGCTGGCTGCACAGCGTGGATTTCTTGTTCTTCTGCACCTGCAGAGGAGGGCAGGCAGTGCTGCACTGAAGCTCGCAGCTTCCCTCGCCCCTTGCATCTTCTCAGGGCTTTGTGTTGGCGTCTCAGTGCATCTCTGTTGCTGAGCAGCTGCCAGCAGTGAGCAGGGAGGGTGATTCACTGCAGTGATGGCTTCCTCTCCTCGCTGCCTCCTAAGCCATCCTTACCCTGTTCTGAGTCAGCAGTTCCCTTTGCTGGAAAATGGCAAGGAATCCATTTAAATACAGGAGTAGACAAGGTTTTGCAGGGCTCTTGACACTAAAACTGATACTGGGGAGCAGGGAAGTGCAGGTAGGGCAGAGATTTCATCCTATGGCAATATAGCTCTTATTTGCCTTCATTTCCTCTAGTGAGTCCTTGCAAATTCCATTGCTTTCTCCGTCCTAAGGCACCTAATTGAATTAGTTGCTTCAAATACACATTTCTGCATCTATTTATAACTTTAGAAACATTCTGTTCTGCAGAAGGACTTCAACTTCGAGGTGAAACTGTAAATGCAAGTGTCTGACAGAGGGCTGAGGTACCGCTGTGCTGTGTGAAGTACAGGAGGGCGGCTGGGGATGCTCAGATCTGAGGAGGAGCTGCCCCACCTCAAAGAAAAGGAGTTGTTTCTGTCGAGTTTTAGCAGGTTCAGTTTCAAACAGCAGCAATTTGTTTTAATTTTCTTACCTCTGTCTCAAATGTGGATCTCTCTGCAGAAAGACTTCAGGGTTCAGGAGCTGCCCCTGGCTCGGATTAAGAAGATAATGAAACTGGATGAAGATGTGAAGGTACCCTCATGGCTTCTGTCTTAAGTGTTTATGACCCTTTTGGTGGATGCTGTAGCTGTAATTCCTTGCAATTCATTACTTGTTATTGTCGTTGTTTATCATTATTTTTAAGGTACTTTACAGAACAATTACTGGAATGCACTGTTAGCTGGCCTGCTGTAATTAAACTGAACTGGGGAAGCAAGATCACTTGGGATCTTTGCTGAAGACTTTTTCAGTTCTGCTTTCTTTTGTTAAACACCAATCTGCTGCATAACTCTGGGTGTTTCCTGGCTGCTTGGCTTTTTCTTCCTAGTGCTGATCCTTCTTTTCTCACGTCTCCTTGTTTTTCTTGACTCTTCCTTTCACAAAGCTGTAGAAGGTTCACGTGGGCAGTGACAGCACTGAAAGGTGCTGTGCTGTTCTGTGGAAAAGTGGGGAGAAGTAGTAACTTAGGTAGGTAACATTGGTTTGGTAGTGATACTTGAGCTGAATCTTTGACTTGGATCTGATAAAGTCAACTGGTGAAAGGTTGGAGGCATAAAAGGAAGGGGGGAGAATGGAGCGCGTGTTGAGTCTTGCGCTGCCCCAGCCCTCCTGTTTGTTTGAATAGGAAGAGGCCCTCAGACGTGGCTCTCCTAAGAGAGAAAAGAATGGTTTGCACTCTTATTCTCAATGTGACACCATCCTTCTCCTAGGACAGCCTTTAAATGTTAAATGAGAGTCAGAAAAAGGCGTGTGTTGTCTCCCTGTCCAAGGGAGCTATTCTGTCAGCTGCAGCCACAAGGAACCCAACCCCCTCAGGTCCCAATTTATGTCTGAAGCGAGTGAGTGCCAGCTTTGTGATAATGAAGGGAAGGTGAGATTTAAGAGGGAAAAGAGTCTTTGGCATTCCTTCTGGTGTTATTTAAGAAGCCTGCACTGGGGATTCAGCACTAATGCCAAGCCAGCTAATAACGAAACTGCTCAACGTGAGCAAAACTTGAGCGAGATGCTTTTTAAGGGAAAGGAATCTGGTGAGGCGCATGGTCTTTATCTGTGTCTCCAAACCTCCTTTGCAATTTCTGCATTCATTTCAGATTATCTTAGTGTTACAACTATAAAGTAAGGGCCAGGCTCTCTTCAGCTTCTCGTTCAGTATCACTTGCGTGTGCCCAGCGCTGCCAGCAGAAGCTGCTGGGTGATGCCCACAGCTGAGTACAGCCTGCTGCAGCAATTCAGAGCTGCTGGCTCAACACAACCCGACACGAAGAGGCAGCACCTGGCCAGGTGTGTGCAGCAGGCTGTGACGACAAACTGCCTGTGGTCAGTGCTCTTGGCACTGCGTCTGACTGGAGGCTCTTTGGGCTGTCAGACCGGGGATCCGATGGGGAAATTCCCCAAACTTCACTGGTAGGCAACACAGCCGTTCAGATTTGAGTAACGTTACGCAGTCGCCTTGACTTTGCTGCATCGGAGTCTTGATAGTAACTTCAAAAAATGTGTGCATTTAATTACAGATGATTAGTGCTGAGGCCCCTGTGTTGTTCGCCAAGGCAGCTCAGATATTCATAACAGAACTGACGTTGCGAGCCTGGATCCACACAGAAGACAACAAGCGCAGGACTCTGCAGGTAACAGCAGCTCCTACCTGGCCTTCAGCAGCTTCAGAAACTGTTTCCAACTTTTGTTTTCATAATAGGAGGCATGCTTTGTAAACAGAGGCTTCTATCACCAGGAACCTGGGTACAAAGCGCGTTGCCCACTGTGGTTGTGCTACCTAAGTGCTTTTTGCTTAACTTGGTTTTAAAAACAAACAACAGCCATATAAAGAAAGAAAAAAAGCAGCAGCTGTCTGCTAATGGTGACCTGCTCTAATCCCTTAGGATATCTGTATCTGTCGGACTTCTGGCTGTCTTGTTTTTCAGCAGTAATTCTCCTAAGGCAGGCTTGTAGATGTTAGCTGGGGTCCAGAGATGAGAACAAAAATGGTTCCTCCCGCGCTCTGATGCAGGGATTGCCGTAGTGGCAGGCAGACAAGTGTGATTCCAGCCCAAAGGCGTCCTGTTGGCTGGGTGTCTGACCACTGAATCCTCACTAATTGAGGCCAGTGCCAGTTCCTTAACCTGGATTTTAATGCAGTTACCGTGGGAAGGATGTATTTGATGCACAGAGCAAGGACGAGGTGCTGCATAAGCAGCAAGTGTCGACTCAGGCATGTCCTGCTAACAACTTTCAAGCTGTTATTTCAGAGTTGCACTTAGATCCTGATCCTAATGTACAGGACCTTTAATTGACCCAGGTTTCAATTTAGGAGCACTTTGCCTTCCCCAGCAGCTGCCATCGTAGAACAGCTGCTCTCCGCATGGGCAGTGCAGTGCAGCTGGAGGAATGCAGTCTTTGCTTATCAACTATTTGGGAAAAAATGTAGAGTGGAGAGGTCTGAGTTATGGGAGGAAATTGGATTGAGCCCAGCCCTCAGCACGGAGAACAAAATGGGAGAGACATCTGTTCAGTCAAAGGTTTCTTCCTGGTGAAGATCCTGCTGTAATATATGTAATATATGTAATATATGCTGCCCGTGGAACAGAAATGTCTCTCTTGTGCCTTCTGCATGATCATTGTTTGCACTTAAATGCCAAGGCAGCGCAGGGTTTGGAAATGTCAGCTAGGCTGAAATGTGAGGATGGATGGTCGTAATGTCACCACGCGTCAGGCAGCGCAGGCAGTGCTCTCCCAGCTCCTGTTCATAGAAATGCTTTACAAATTTACCTTCCGTTAATGAAAACGAGGCTTTTAAGAGCTTCTTGAGTCAGCCCTGCTTTTTAAGGTGGTTTGCTGGGATGTTAAACTGACACAGAGCGTTTTATTTTTTTCTTTTTAAGACTTTCAATCTTTTTTCACTTTTTTTAATCGTGGGGTTGCTGGAGATCTTAAGCAAACCCTGCAGTGGTGCCTTCTGCTGGCTGCCCCTGTTCAGGTCGGCAGCACTTTGACCTAATGCTCATGTTTGGATTTCTTCTTTTGGTGAAGATACGAAAGAAAAGTTTCTTTAGATAAACTTTTTATCCTTACATGCATGAAAGCAGCTTGGAGAAGCTGTTTGCCTTGCCAGTGTTTCTTAGAAGCTCACTGGCTCTTGCACATCCTCTCTCTGATACCTCTGGCCACTTTGCTAACTCTGTGTTTTAATCTTGCTGCTTTCTCTTAGCCCTTCTACAGGCTGCATTTTGTTCTCTCTACATCTCTCAGGATTCCCCTGCCCCAAATAAGACCCTGTAATTCTGTGTCTTTTTCTCACCAAACGCGTAGGTTCCACCTAGGGGAGGTTCTGTAAAAGCTGAAGTGTAATGAACACCCCTGATTAAAAAGCTCTGCTTTGTTTATCTCGTGACAGAACGTGCTTCTAAAGCTGAAAAGTGCTTTTTCTTGTTGCTGTTGTAGAGGAACGACATTGCCATGGCAATTACAAAGTTTGACCAATTTGACTTTCTGATTGACATCGTCCCAAGAGATGAGCTGAAGCCTCCGAAGCGTCAGGTGAGACAGAGCAGCTGCCCTGTTGGCTGTCCTTTCCGTGGGGTGGTTTCACTCTAATTGTTAGGGAGCTGATAACGAGTACAGAGTCTCAGATTTAGACACGTTTGTGCCCCTTTGTGCATGTTTCTTCTTCATAGTGTTCAGATTCTCAATTGTTTTTGGTGCAAATAGAGGGGTGATGACAGAAGCCCGACTCGGGCACTTACCGAAGCAACAGAAACATTTCTAAACAGCTCTGAGAACAAACATTACCACTATTAAAAATGTTCAAAACTGTGCTGACTCTGCATCCTTTGGCTGCCATGAAGCAACCCAGGCAGCTTTGCCCAGCAGTGCCACCTCCTGCGTCCTTCAGGGCAGTCGTTGCTGCTGTAAACATCCTTGACTGGAAGCTGTGAGGTGTCAGCGGGAGCTTTCAGTCGGATGTTTACAGCTGCAGGCTGCTGCAGTCACCTGGGTGCTGCTGCCCCGTGGAAGCCAGCAGACGTTGCTCCAGGAGCTCTTGTTGCCCTCGTGTGCCAGACGGTGCCCAAAGTGCAGTGCGGTGGGGCTGCAGCTCAGTCGCCCCGTGGCTCGCCGTTGCTTCACGTGCACAGAGGCAGATCCTGCACTTGGCTGGGCTGTGTCTGCCTGCTTCCCTCAGCTGCTTTTCAGATGCCTTTGGAGGTCTTTGAAAGGTTCAAGACTTTAACATGTCTTCTTCGAGTGCTGCTGGAAAGACTGGAGAACTGTAAAAGCTTCCTGGCAAGTGCTTTACTTGGAAGCTCTGCTTTGATGTGTTTCTCGTATTCCATTATAAGTCAAACATACAAGAAGTACCTGCTGTGAACAGAGATGCTGCTCCCATGGTAGACCTGGAGTTTGAAAGCTGCTGTTTCACTTTCCGTCTGGAAATGACAGAATTGTTTGGGTTGGAAGGGACCTTTAAAGGCCAGCTGCTCCAGCTGCCTGCAGACAGGGACCCTCGCAGCTCCATCAGTGCTCACAGCCCCCCAGCCCGGCCTTGGCACTCTCCAGGAGCACAGCACCACGCTCCTCTAGTGACCAGTGCCACTCCTCACCACCCTTGCTGTACAAAAGACTTCCTTGCATCCAATCTACATCTCTCCTTTTTAAATGAGAAACCATTTCCCTTGCTCCTATCCCAGCACACCCTGCTATGTCCTCACGGTTCTACTGAAGTGGCTGCAGTGGGAGCTTGCCTGTATCTGGTTTGATACAGAGATGCCAAAAGATTCACTCTGAACACAGCTGAATCATGAGAAATGCTGCTAAGGGGAGAAGTCTGATGCAGAAATCCAGCATAGGTTGGGACTTTTCAGTGGAAAATATTTCTCTTCTTCCACAGTGCTGAAGAATAGCTGCCCATAGGCTGACAGGCTGCCCTTTTTGGCTGGGGGTGCAATCTGTGCTTTAGCACGGGCAGGACTGTTTGACAACTTGGTGTTGCTTACGAGGAAGAGCTGAGGAGGGAACCATGACTGTTATGTTGCTCTGGTAACTGAAGCTACGGCTTGGAAATACAAGGTGCCCAACGATGGGGTAGAGCCTACTTCATGCAGATTTGTATTTAAAGTCATTTTTGTATGTAGCAAGGAAAATTTGAACCTGGAATAGATGCTGATGTCCTTAATTGAGGGTTCAGCGAGCAGCAGGGTTGGAGCTCTATAGAAATAGGGTACCTAAGGACTGGGCTTTACAGAAACAGCCATGGCTCTTCAGTGCTTGCAGTTTTATGACTCGTTGGAGAATTGTCCTGTTGAATACATACTTACATTTATTATGAATCCCTCCTGTAGAGGATTTGATGAAGCGAGCAGGAATTAATTGTGTGCTGCTGTGTGAAGGAGGTGCTGTAAGTGGCCGTGGTACTGCGGGGTGCTGCTGGGAGCCAGGCTCAGTCACTTCTTCATTACAGCCAGCTGCCAGCAGCGTAACCTTTGGGGTGTCATTTCCTGGTATGCTGTTAGAAACCTGGTGAGTGGCTCAGAGTCCCTCTGAGAGCTGAGCACTGAAGGGAAGGGGCTCTCCTACCCACGCCTGATGCCCATCTGGGCAACGTACACTAGTTTTGTTTAATGGAAGTTCTTTTTCTGCCCAGCTGGATGCACTGAAGGTAAGCCATGAGCGAGCCTCTTCTGAGGCAGGGGAGTGGAGCAGACTTGTGTGACGTGGCCCCTACCATGCTGTAGCACGTGTAAACATCCTACACTCTCAGCTGTGAACTCGAGGTGGCTGGGAGAGGATTGTTTACGCCTTCTGCCATGGAGTGAACGTCTGGTGAGCTGTGTCTTCTGCTGGGCTCAGGGTCCTGTGCTCCTCTGGGAGCTCAAGAGGTGCGATTCTCGAGCGTTCACCGCATGTCACATAGCATAATCTCCCCAGATCTACTTTGCATTAAATATCTTGAGTTATAAGGCGCTTTTCTCTTCCAAAGGCATCCACAGATGAAACAAGATGGCAGTACAACAGCCTGTGCTCCTGACAGCAAGCTAGAGCAGAAGCTGTTGTTCTTTACACTCATGAGATATCCCTGCTTCCTGCAGAATCAGGCTGTCAGGCCGTGACATGAGACAAAGTTGTTATTCTGCAAAAGCTGGATTTCAATAAGTAGACCAAGGCCCTGCAGTGTGCATCGAGTGCATGGCTTCTGTTCCCAGGGGTTTGACATCAGAGCTGGGCTAAGATCTGTGTGGGGCACATGGGCTAAGGAGAAGGCTTTGCTGGCAGATGAGGCTTTGCAGGTCTTGTGCATTGCAATTCATTCTGTGCTAAGATAACCAGTGATGATGGAATTTGCTGATGAGGAGCTGTGTGGATTTCAGCTATGGTCATTTTATACGTTTGCTTCTCATGATAAAATTGGTGACTCCATTATTATGTGTAGGATACTGGAAATGGTTTTGATTTCCTTCCAGCTGCATAAATGAGGAAACCTGGTTTGAGTGATCGTTTTTGAGTCACTTAAGCTGTTAGAAGGGAGGCACTGGAGGCACCTTGGTGCTTGTGGGGGTGCTCAGCGGTGGCTGGGCTGGGCAGCTGGGGGTTCCCTCCCCATTTACCCACTCTGTGCTGTGCTGCAGGAAGAAGTACGTCAGGCTGTGACCCCGGCTGAACCCGTGCAGTATTATTTCACCCTTGCTCAGCAGCCTGCCGCAGTGCAGGTCCAGGGGCAGCAGCAAGGACAGCAGACCACGACATCTACAACCACCATCCAGCCGGGGCAGATCATCATTGCACAGCCTCAGCAGGGGCAGGTGAGTGTGGGCAGAGCTCGGGGCTGTGCAGTGTGCTGGGGATCCTTGGCTCACTGCAGTGTCCTGTTCTCCCTGCTGCCAGCAGTGCCATAGAAATGGGTTTTCCTTTGCAGCGTAAGGAGCTGAATTGTGTTGACCCAGTGAGCAAAGCAGAAATATCCTTTGAATCTCCGTGCTGTAGGTTATGTTGTTTTGTGGGAGTGCAGTGCACTGTTACCCCAGAGCGAGTCACAACAGCCATAGGACACATTCTGTCTTTTCCACATGCAAGTGAAGCTGTAATGATTTTTGAGCTCTGCAGTCAGCAGTGTTATTGTTACACTGTGGTTTTGATGGTTTTTTCCCTTCCTCTCCCTGCCTTTCTTAATAGCATATTGAATGCCACAGTGAGGTTAGCACGGCACCCTTTGCTTGTCTGGATGAGCACTGCTCTGGCAGGAGGCTGCCCTTGCCAGGTGCCAACCACGACACCGCTGCGATCTTCAGAGCTCTGAGATCTCAATTTGAAATGCATGCATTTTCTTGAACATATTTGGCTTGTCTCTCGAGTACCTGTGCCAAAGAGTGGCTATCTGCAAAACCAGAACACAGGGCTCCCTCTTCGTAGTGTTGTTACAGGGTGTGCAGGATGCCCTGAAGCCAGGATCACGCGGGTCTTGCTGCGGTGACTGAAGCATCAGTGAGGAGCAGCGGGGCTCAGCAGCAGCCCTGCGGCCTCAGCCCTGTTCTGAACGCAGCCCTGTGCCAATGCAGGTGGGAGAAGGCCAGCAGGTGCAGATTGTGCAGGCCCAGCCGCAAGGACAGAGCCAGCAGGCGCAGAGCGGGACGGGGCAGACCATGCAGGTCATGCAGCAGATCATCACCAACACGGGGGAGATCCAGCAGATCCCGGTAAGCCGTCGTGGGGCTGGGAGTGAGGTGAATGCAGCTGCTTCAGCGTGGGGCTGTGTGTGTTTGTGTGCCTTCAGAGCTGTGCAAGGAGGTTTGGGCTGCGCGCGTTTCCTGCGCCGGGAGAGAAAAGGAGCCGGGTGTGACATGAAGGGGGAAATAAACTCAGGCCGTGCAGTGCCAGCACCACTGCTACCCACAGGTGGAATAGCGTTAGTAGGAGGCAGGACAGAAAGCACTTCCTGCATAAATTAGTTCTCCACTACAGCATGCTTGCAATAAAACCTAATTAACTTGTGTTGTCTTTACTCGGTTCTGCCTCTGCAACCCGGAGCCACGGCCTGTCGGACCGAGTGGGAAAAGTGCTGCCTGTGAGTCATTAACCAACTCCTACATTGCAAAAAAGCATTTCTACAGCGTAGTCTGAGCTGATGGCAGGAATGACTTTGTGCTACCAGGACGTTTCTTCTCACTTTCACGTTAACGTAAGGCTGCTGTGCCCTAAGATTGGGATTTTGAGTGCACAGCGAGCCGTGAATTCTGGCACATGTCCTGGGTAAACACGAGGCTCCCAAAATGTCATTTTCCCCCTCTTTGTAGCTTGGAATGCCAACAAAGCTGAGCCTTTTGGTTCCCACCTGAAAAATTTCACACGCCTTACAATAAAAGTCGATAAAATCCTTCCAGTTCCACGCACTCAACCAGCAGCACAGGGGTCAGACAGGTGACCGAGACGAGCGCTTCGCTTTGTCTGTGATTCCTCTTGCTGTTACGAGGCTGACCAGCTGCACAGAGCTGATCTCACCCAGGCTGAGGTTTGCTCAGCGTCCCTTTGGCAGATGTTTGTGCTTTGACAGAGCATCTCGAGGAAAGCGAAGGCTCTGCGTGCTGTCACATTCTCCCAGTTCACTTCCCTCTTCTCATCTCTGCAATCCTCAGCTGATTCCTACACCAGGTGTTGATCAGGAGGGACAAGACTGCTTGCCAAACGTGCTGCTTTACCACCAGCAGCCTTTTTCCTTCTCCACGTTCTTCACCGCCTTTCTCTTGCATTTTTGTCCTCCTTTTCTTTATGGAAGTCTCTCTTGGACGCTTCTTAAAAGCATTTTGGATAGAGATCTCTACCCCTGCCTGGGTGAATCTGGTGTAACAGAGCAGCAATAAAAGAAGTTCAGGCTTGTTTCGCAGTCATCCCCAGTGCAGGCTGTAAGTCCCTGTAGGAAAGGGACCTGGAGATTTGCAGGGGGGAAGAATTCTTTATAAAGCAGCTTTGGAAGGGGCTGAAGCATTCTGCAGGAAATGCCATTCTCCACCCAGGTGATGCTGTTTTAATTGATGGCGTGCTTTATGAACGAGCCACTGGAGGCTTTTTAATTAACACCTGCTTTTGGCCAGGAGAATTCTTCCACCTCATCTTGCCTGGCAGCACTGGGGCTCGTGGCCATCCTCAGGCACTGCTGGGGTTGCAGTTGGGATGGAGCTGCCTGAGTGGGCATCTGTTGTGCTGGGGATGCTTGGGTTCCTCGTGAGCGTAAGGCGATAAAGCAGAGTACCTCAGGAGGGGTGTTACAGTGAAATACAGTTCTCACTCCAGTACCTAGGAGAAGTGCTGCCTTGACAGTAATTAATGTGATTCCTCTTAATTGCAGCATGTTGAAGAACCACAGCCTGTGCTGGAGGAAACACCTTTCCCTTTGCTTCCAGCAAATGAAATGCAGCCGAGCAGGAGCCACACAGCCAGCATGAGAGCAGAGTGCCTGGGAGCATGCTGTGTGGATCCACAGTTACAGTCCTTGCTCTGCTCACTGCTGCTCTCTGTTCTGCTCTCTTTCTGCTCCTCTTTTATCCTTTCTCCCCTAAATCTCCTTCCTATCTTGGTGCAGTCAGTGTTACCTTCTGGCAGCTCTTTTCACTCCGCTCTCTGGTGGCGTCCAGCTCCAAATCTTCCTTAACACAAACACAGAAGGCTGAAACACAGAGCTGGTAGCATCTGCTAGCATAGGAGTGGTGGGAGAACGGCCTCAAACAAACAGAGTAGAGCTGGAAGGAAGGCAGGAAATGCATCCATCACAGAGCAGCCATTTGTTTGCCCACGTGAATTCTGTGTTCAATTTCATCCATGCCTTCACCTTGACCTCGCAGGGCGAATCTTTGGAGGTTGCCCTCATTTCTGGAGGCACTGTGTGTGAATTGCTTCTATCACTGCTGGGAGCGTGGTTGAGATGGAAGCAGGAAGCTGCAGAGTGGAGAACTTGCTCAGCAGGCAGAGCTCAGTGCAGAAATGGAGTCTTTGCTGAGATGTGTGCTTGCGTTGGGTCCATTTGCTCATGAAATAACATTGGTGCTGCTGGGTTCAGCAGTGGGAGGCAGCAGGGCTGTGTGCCAGCAGCTCCTGGTCCCTGAGCGGTGCTCAGGTGCTCTGCACGCCTTCCTTGCCCCTCCTTAAAAACAAAAAACACCTCAAAGTGTTTTGGATGCAAGGCACCGTAAGGCTGTGAACCAAAATGTTCTGAAGTTCAACAGCGCAGCACCAGGAACTCAATGGCAGTCAGCCACGTGGGGACCTTTCCATCGCCTCTCGGTGTGTCCCACCAGCTGCCTCTGCCACAGACTGAGAGCTGAGGGCACTAAGATGGCTCTGCTCAGACCCCTCAGGCATCCAAGATCCAGGCTGTAGGTAATAAATGAACTTGCATTGGAATGTGACACAGAACCGACACGAGCCAGGTAAAGAAGAGTTGCACTTCAGGGCTGCAGATACTATCTTGTGGTATACTTCTGTCATCTCCGCTGCCTTCAATGATTTGAAAATGTCCTGTGTTTCCCTTATGTTTTTGGCAGCATGTAGTAGGAGTGTCATGACGTGCAGCTAGCTCGGAGGAGCCTCTGTGTGTGAGATGAAAGGCTGAGCAGTCGCTGCATTCTGGTGACTGAGAGGGAAAACAAGTGTTACAGTGCTCTGAAACGTAGCACTCAACATGCTTTAGCTACTAACTGGCCTTTTGTCCTGGAGAAGGAAGCGCTGTGCTTCTTCAGGTTCTCCTTGCAGAGCCTGGAGGAGTTCTGGGGACTTGGCTCTTGCCCTGTTCTAATTCCTCTCCCCCACCGCTGCTCGGCTGGAGCTCCCCAGTCTCATCTGTTACCTGGCTTCTGTTGTGGAAACGAGAAGGCAAGTTGGTGTGTTTCAGGTTACACAGTTACCTGTTTAATTTTCTTTCCCTGCCCCCTCCGCTTGTCTCCAGGTTCAGTTGAATGCTGGCCAGCTGCAGTATATCCGCTTAGCCCAGCCTGTGTCAGGCACCCAGGTAGTCCAGGGGCAGATCCAGACGCTTGCAACCAATGCCCAGCAGGTATGCGCTCCGACAGCAGGGCTGGCCTTTGCTGTTATGGTGTTGTTCCCTAACTCCTGAAACTGCAAACTCTGGTGGAATTTACCAACTCTTGGGCCAGGGATCCTGAGTTTCTTTTCTTCCTGTTTACCTTCATCAGAATAACGAAGCGAGGAGCGCAGCGGATGTTTCCTTTACCTGTGTGTGAAAGCTGCATGCTGTGTGTGTGTGTCTTGCTGCATAAAGCCCTTGCTGCTTCTGAGCTGGCTGCAGGTTTATCAGCCTTTTCTTTACTTCTCCTGGTTGGGTGAGGGAGGAGCAGCAGCTCTCAAAGCTCTGCAGCAGTGACACATCAAGGCCAGCCCTGCTGCCGCCAGGTTGGCTCGTGATCTCTGGGGCTGCTCGTTAAGGGATTCTGCTCTGCCTTCAGAGGACAGGAGGGCTGCTGCTTCCCTGACATCCTGGAGGCCGCAAGGTTCTCCTTGTGAAAGCCAGACGTGCTTTGTGAGCACTCAGTCCCTGTCCTTTGTTCCTGACTGCAGTCAGGACCAACGTGAGCACAGGCTGCTGCCCTGTGATGTGTCCCCCCCCCCTCACGGTGGGGCACTGAAGCTTGCAAGAGTGGAAAAGCTCTGAAGGGCTGCGGCAGGATGTTGTCTGTGGGTTCTGAGCCTCCCCAGAGCTCCGTCCCTGACTGCCCTTCTCTCGTCCTCGCAGATAACGCAGACAGAAGTCCAGCAGGGGCAGCAGCAGTTCAGCCAGTTCACAGACGGGCAGGTAAGAGCTCGGGCCGTGTTGGTGCCGCATGCCTTCAAAGTCCAAGCTGGAAGGACTGTTTGGGTTTGTTCTGGATATCAGCTCTTCAGGTAAAGCGCTGCTACCGCAGCCAAACCTGAAGCAGAGGCAGAATAATGGATCCTGGCCGTTCCTGATGCAGGTGGATTCCTCAGCGCTCTGTTTGCTCCAGATTAACGCAGCCCATTTTAGTCCTGACCAGCTTTCAAATACAGGTCTGAACGTTTAGCCTGGCTGTTGTGTGAGCAGCATGAGCTCAGTCTGAGCATCAGGAATGGACAGAATGATGTACGATGCAGTGATAAATGTCCGATTCACGGCCTGGTGCCGGGGACAGATTTCACACCGGCCTGAGAGCTGCTCAGGCTTCATGCCCACAGCGGCGCTGCGTGAGAGCTGACCTCCCTTCCCCTCCTTCTGTCTGCCAGCAGCTCTACCAGATCCAGCAAGTGACCATGCCTGCAGGCCAGGACATCGCGCAGCCCATGTTCATCCAGTCCACCAACCAGAGCTCGGATGGCCAGGCCACGCAGGTGGCGGGGGACTGAGCGGCGTCCCTGTGTGGGGAAGCAAACACGTGCCAGCTTCACCCGGCCTGGTCTGAGGAATGCGTTGCTTCTGCGTCTCCGTACTTGACAGCGAGCCTCCAGCAGGCTGCGGTCTCTGGTGCACCATACGCCTTCGTCTGGTGGGTATGAGAGCATATCCAGCAGACACTGACAAGAATGCAAGATTTTTATTTTTGGAAGTCCATATTTCAGTGCGTTCAGCTGCTCCTTCAAAGCCCGCGAAACTGAAGGGAGCCGATGGAATTCGGAGCATCTCATTGAGCAGCGGTGAAAGGCTCTGACCTGGGGAAATGATTCAAGGTTTGCTGCAGGAGCTTCCTGCCTGGTGCTCCGTTTGTGTTTCTCCCCGAATAGAGCTAGGTTCAGTGCTGCCATCTCAGTGGTCTGTTACGGGTGGGAGGGGGGAGCGTGTCTGTGTGTTGGGTTGCCTCTCCTGCCTCCTTTTTTGGTAAGCCGGAGCATTGAATATATGCAGCTAGGGGGCAGGGAGTGGGGGCAGAGTAATTAAAGTGAAAACAAAAACATTCCTTGTATTATGACTGTGTTTTCTAAAGACAAAATGATTCTTGAATTTGACCTGGTTTATTCCAGAGATGCTAATGGCATCCGGATGAACCCCAACCCCCGTTCACTGTTGTTCTGGCTTCGGTCGATGCATGTAATATAAGCTTCCTCAAACAAAATAAATTCCCTTTGTAAGATAACGCGTGCCCTGTCGTTGAGAAGCAGAGCCTGGCGGTGAGGAGCAGCGAGGAGCGCGGCGCTGCAGCGATGCTGGTGGCAGCACGGCCGGGCGGAGCTCGTGGCCGGAGCTCGGTGAGGTTTTGCAGCTCCTCATCGTTGTGTCGGGCGGCCTGGAGGGGCTCCACGCTGTTGGCAGAGCGCGAGGGCAGCGGCAGCGCCGGCAGCTCGGCTTTGCTGCTGATGGAAGAGCTGAGCTGGCCGTGCTTCGGCGGCGTGAGAGCCGGGAAACCGCTGCAGGAATGGGGGGAGAAGCGCAGCGCCCGAGTGGAGCGGAGCGGGGGAAACGGAGCGGTGCGGGGTGGGCGCTCAGTGCGGGGAGCGCGGCCGCCAGGGGGCGCCCGCGGGCGGCTGCGGTTGAGCTGCGCGCTGCGAGACCCCCGGCTCGTGGGGCTGGAGCTGCGCGCCGGGCTCTGCCGAAGGAAAACTCCCCCGAAGCAGCGGCGTGTGATGCGTTTGCTGGAAAGAGTTTAAATGTGAATGGGGGAAAAAAAGGAGGAAAGGATCCCTCGTGTCCTTCTGGAAAGACAGGAAGTGGGGGTGAGGTGGTGCGGCTGAAGGGAGAGTGGTTTCTGTGCGAGCCCCAACGGGGGATGCTGAGGATGCTGAGGATGCTGAGGATGCTCCCCACGCGGCATCATACCGAGGGCTGCCTGAAATCGGAGCTCCGCTCTGCGCAGGTAGCACTGGAGCTGGCAGTGTTGACACAGCTCATAATGGAGATAAGGCATCCCAGAGCAGTGCCCTCACTGCCTCCAGCAGCAGCGCTGTTATGAAGATAGCTGAAATCGTTGGGCTGTCACAGGTACTGTAAACCCCAGGCGTTAATAAGAGCCAGATCTCCCATATAAGGCTGCGTGTGCTGCTCCGATCCCTTTGGTCCCCACTCGTAGGAGAAATGGTTTGGGACCCATTTCAGTGGCTGCTTTCTAACCTGGAGCTGGCGGGGCAGAGCCTGGGCACGCTGCTGGGCAGCACATGCAGCACAACACAGTCGGCAGCCTCAGCTTTGGGTCTGAGCACAGTGCAGCATCTCTGTCTGCCCCGCTCAGTGCCTCCCTCCCCAGGAGCAGTTTCTGTGTCTCCTGGTTGGGATGAGCTCAGCACAGCCGCTGTGTGGGTGACAACGGGCAGCTGATGCTGGGGAAAGTTGCACTGTGCTGCTGACAGCTGCTGTGCCCCGGGGTGCACATCTCAGGCTGCCCTGCCAGAGGAAAACACAGCCATGAAGGTCACAGTGCTGCCGGGGGCTCCGGGCACGATGAAGAAGTGCTCAGTGACTGCCTCAATAGGGACCAGCCACCACGGTGGGAAATGGGGTCCATGGGAGCACAGCTGATGTGGCTGAGGCCTTTCTGAGGAGCTCGTGCTCAGCTCTTCCCTTCCGAGCACCACAAGCTCTGGGGATCCTCGCCCAGGGGCTCTGCAGGACCTCGTGCTGCAGCACACGGTGCTGAGGCTGCGCTGGGCAGAACCAGAGACCACGCAGGCACAGCAGCTCAGGGTCTGCCTTCAGCCTCCCATTTGCTGGAGCTCAGCAGCTCCAGGCTGGCTGCTGCCTGCCCTGGGCTGAGCCCAAGCCTCACGCAGACGCAGGTGCTGCACGGCTCCTGCAGCTCCCAGCACAGCATCCCTCACACTGTGGGGCTGCTCGCATCCTCCTCTCCACCACAGCAGCCCCAGGACCTCCCAGCACCTCCATCCAGGGCACCGACCCGGGGCTTTGCTCCGCCCCATCGCAGCCCCCATCCTGCAGTGCCCCCATCCCACCCCCCTCCCCCCCCAAACCAGCAGCTCTGCAGCTGCATACCAGGGCTGCAAAACTTACTGGAAATCCTGTAGATGCAAATCCCGGCTTCCCATCCGTGCCAGGAATTTGAGCTGCAATCCCAAGAGGGCAGCAGGCTCCAGGCACGCAGGCCTCCCCGCTCTCATTGCCCAGCATCCGAAATGCTCTTTAAGGCCAGACTGGAGGAGGCGCTGCTCGCAGCCGCCTGCCGGCTTCCCCAGCCCCATTTCTGGGGCCGTGCCCGTTGATGGCAGCTGGCCGCCCGCAGCTCCAGCAGTGGCAGAGATGCCCCGCGTGTGCGTGCAGCTCGGCCCTCGGGCGCAGCTGCACCTGCAGTGCTGTGCAGCAGCGGAGGATTGCAGCGCTGGGGCGGCCTGGGTGCGATCGGCAGAAGCGAAACTCTCGCGATGGAAGCCTCAAGGAGGGCAGTGCTGGGCCGCGGCTCTGCTCCGTCCCTCTAATTTATGAGCAGCTCGCAGCGCCCAACAAACAAGTTGGAGGAGTGACGTCTGTGGTTAAAAAATAAATCAGTGGTTCTTCTTTGCTTCCAAACTCAGCTCTCCCGATGCTTCCCCAGCAAGACGTCGGCCGGGCAGCCCATCCAGCCACAGAGCAGCAGCACGAAGCGATTCCCACCTCCTGTGAATAAATGCAATGGTTCCCCCCCCCCCCCAGAGCCCTCCTTCAAGGGACCCCAGGCCCCGTCTGAGTCCTTTGGGGTCACCTTAGCTCTGCCCCTGCGCAGCCCCGAGGCTTCGATCCGTCCCAGGTGAAACCCAACCCTGCAGAGCGCAGCCCGGCGCTGCGCTGAGGCAGCAGTGAAGGTCAGGGAGCTCCACAGCACTGAGGGGTGCAGGGTCCTATTGGGGAGCACCGGGGGGGTGCAGGGGTGCGGAGGGAGCTGGTTTGGGTTTGCACGACTTCAGCCTCTGCGGACACAGCTCTCATTGCTGCGCTGGGGTTTGTGTAGGCAGGGCGGCTCCTGGGGGGTGGGAGATGTTGGACGGGACCGTTTCCCCCCGTGCCCAAATCAACATAAGTGTCTATTTATCGTGTGTGCGCTTCCTTACACCTCCCAAATACCGCAGTGCTCACACGGGCACACGCCGGTGCCAGGATCTCCAACCACGTTAAATAATTCACCGCCCCGCGCCGTAACCGCTCTGCTCTGCGGGAGCTCAGGGCGCGCTGTGGGGCGGGGGCAAACGGCCTCTGGGGCGCGGGTCCGGCTGGGAGCGGGGCAGAGCGGCGGGGGAGCGAAGGGCGATGGGTGGCGGCGCATCCGGAGCGCAGGAAGGGCCGGATGCGCGTGGCCGAAGCTCTCCGTGCAGAGCGGCTCCGAGGGGCGTCGGGCACCGCAGGGTCGGGATGCTCGCTACCGGGATGCTCCGCACCCGCAGCTTTGGGAGGCTGCTCCCGGGACGCTACGCGCTCGGTTGTCAGGGATGCGCGTTGCAGGACGCTCCGCACCCGCAGTTCGAGATGCTCGCTGCCGGGATGCTCGCCGCCCCACCGCCCGCGACGCTCTGCAGCGTGGGACGTCCTCTCCGGGACGCTCCCCACCCCCGGGACCGCGCGCTCCCCGCCCGACGCGGGGTCAGCAGGGGCCCTCGGAGCAGCGTCACCCCGCGGGGATCCCCCTCCCCTCCTCCCCGGTCGGAGCCGCGCCCCCCGCGGGCGCCCATCGCGGCGGTGCCGGGGGCGGGGGCCAGGTGCTGCGGGGCGGGCCGAGGGGAGCGGCGGGGGAGGGCCCGCAGGGGCGGCTAAAGGCAGGTGGCGGCGGGCAGCGGCCGCGGGAGGGCGGGACGGGACGGACGGGTCGAGCCGAGCGCTCCGCAGCGCGGGGCCATGCGGCGGGAGGCGGCGGGGCGGTGAGCGGGGCGGCGCGCCATGGCCGGGGCGGCGCGGAGCGGCGGGGGGCGGCGGGGGGCAGCGCTGACGGCCGTGCGCAGCGAGGACGGGACCCCCCCTCCCAGCGCTCCCCTCAACCGTCGGGGGGGACCGACGGCTCCGCGCCCCGCGGCCGCCTCCCGCCCCGCCGGGACCGCGCGCAGCTGCCGCCGCCGACTGCAGAACTGCCTCTACAACGTGCTGGAGCGGCCCCGCGGGTGGGCCTTCGTGTACCACGCCTTCATGTGAGTGCCGGCCGTGCGAGACCCCCTTCGCTGCCGGGGCGGGGGGCGGCGGTGCTTTTACCGAAGTTTTCCCGGAGGTCGGGGGGGGGGAATCCGGGCCGTGGGTCGGGAGGGTCCGTGCGGAGCGCGGCTGAGCCCCGGGAGCTCCTCCGAACGCGGCGCCCGTCGGTCACCGTCCCGCTCCGGCCCCGTCCCGTCCCGGGTTCCCGGCGCGGGGGGAGACCCAAAAACGAGAGGAGGGGACTCGGGAGGGGTCGGGGTAGGACTGGGGGTTGGGGGCAGCGGGGGAAGCACGGCGAGAGTCCCCGTCTGCGCCCGTGGGGTGGGGACGGCGGCTTTGGGTAACGCCGTGGGGCTGCGGTGCCCGGAGCTGCGCGCGAAGGGTGGCAGCGGGCACCGAAGCCCGGAGCGTTACGAGCCCGGCGCTACGGCATCGCCCTGCGGACGGGGATGCTCCGGGCTCACGTCCGCTCCCCGCCGCGCGTCGGGCCGCTCCGACAAAGCCGAGCCGTGCGTGCGCCGATTGCGCCGGGGGTCCGAAACGCTCCGGGCGGCTGCGGTGGCACGACGGGGTGATGCGGGGAGATGCTGCCTCTCCTGCCCGGCCGTGCCGTGAGAAAGGCGGCCGCTTTGGAAAGTGGGTCTCGCCGAAGTGCGCGCACGGAGCCGTGCGGGCCGCCCGTCACCTGATCGCCGCGCACCTGAGCTCCCCGGGGAGCTGCGCTGCTCCTCACACCCCCGCGCTGTGCTTCGGAAATAATACCTGCGCTGCAAACGCTGCCCTCGAAAGAGCTGTAATTAAGGATGGCAGCTGAAACCCCATGGAAAGAGAGGTGGGGGGGTCGGGCTTTTGGGTGCTCGCCGGGCTTTGGCACAGGGATCCTCCTCGGTGCGTTTTCCCCAGAAACAACCACGCAGCGCTGGATGTGAGGTGCACGTTGGGTCGGTGGCACTGTGGGGTTCCTGTGGGTTTACCTGCTGGGGCTGTGCGTGGCTCCAAGCGGCCCCATCCCTGCCAGCTCATGGCCACGACCCGGCC